GGGGGGGGCCTTCGAGAATGTCACATCCCAGACATTCAGACAAGACAAATGCGTCTCTCTGTATGTGACTTGACTATCCCCATTTTCATCCCAATAACATGGCACTTAAAGAGGGGCCCTGAGGGGAGCGTAGGGGAATGGGGCAGCAGCGAGGCCGGTCACTCCTTCCTTCTTCTATTGTACTCTTTGGGGTCTACGACGTCACCATCTAGCCAACCGTGGTGCCCCCTTCCTCCGTCCGATACGGGATGGGCATGGCAACAGACATCAAGATAACAGAAATCATCAACAGACATATATCACCATCTGGCTCTGTACATGAGGTTGTGAAAAAAAAGGGGGGGATGCTTCCTCATTCTGCGTCATTTCGTCAACGACACTATTTCCTGTCCGCCTTGAATATGTGCGCGAGAGACACATCATCAGACAATTCTCGACTTCGACTTTCCCCAACCCTGAAATATTAGACATTAAAAGTACAAGGCCCCAGGAATTTCTAGCGAGAAAGTCCGCGGCTAGAGTCTCAGGAACCCGAACTCCCACAGCTGGATTCGATTAAAGGAATAATATGGCAGCAAAACCAGCAACAGCCAGAGCCCCGACTCCGTTCTGCGCAGCACCTGCCGTGGGAACAACTCCAGGCCCCGTAGGATCAACATGAGGGGGCGCCGTAATGTTGGCTGTGACATTGTTCGTTGGTCTAGGTCCGGGGCCGTCACCGATGCCTTCGCCAGTCGGCGTCGGCGTGGGACCCTCGTCGCCTACAGGAGAACATTGGTCTGGAGGCAGTGTGAACTGGTCCCGGCCGTCCTGCGGGTAAACGACGCAGTTCTGGGCACAGGCAGCATCACCCTCGGTAGGGGACGTCTGGTAGCAGACAGCAGGGGCCCCGTCCTGTTGGCGATGGCCAGCGAGGATCTCGCTACAACGTCCGGGCTGGCCCTGCGACGCGTTGTTGCAGCGGATGATGATGTCCGTCTGGAGCGAGGCGCCCCCGCAGTAACTGGCGTCGGGTGTCTCACAGACGTACTTGCCCGTATTGTTGTCACTGTCAAAGGGTCCAGTGTTAGTTCCGGTCTTTTGCACTTGACTGGTTGCGTGAGGGGGCGGCGCTGCAGACGTACTAGGTGACCTGGGCTGCGGCCAAAGCCGACCAGGAGAGGAGGAGGAGGGCGCTGATTTTCATTTTGCTTTTATTTTGTTCAATGCAGGCGGCCTTGGCAGATGTACGAGGTTGTTGATATTGGCCGAGAACAAGATGAGACAGTGAGTGATATAAGGTAGTGTAGTGGTTACACAACAAGCGAGTGTTGTGCCCAGGTGTTTATGTGTGTGTGAGCGAGAGTGAGGAGGCCTCTTGGTCTCGTATCACGACTTGTGCCAACGAGAGGTAGAGAGATGAGATGAGGGAAAAGAGAGGGCGGGGAGGTCGAGGGTGGTGGGCGATCCTCTAAATACGGAACAGGACAGTCGGCATTTGAGTGTCAGGTAATTAGGTGTGCTCAGATGCGGCCAAGGTAAACAGAATTCGCTGAACAAGAAGCGACCGAACCGTCATGACGAGGTTGCATACGCACGCATCTTCAACGTCTCATGGAAGCTCAGGGCTGGCCCCGTCTTGAGCCGGGCACCGGCGAAACTTTGCCAGATTTAGTTGAATCGACTCGATCTCTTTCCGTACAGGGTCCATGCCAGTGGCGACATCATTACCGCTTCAAGATGAATCTAGGGGAAGTCTGCGTCCCGTCCCTCTTATCAGAAAACGAAAAGGGGGAGACCCGAGAAGGCGGGAAAGAGAGAGGAAGCCTCTCGCTCGTTAAGGTACAACTTCGACCTGATTACACGACTAACCCCCGTGGCCATCGATTAGGCCCAACTGGGCCTGCATTGCACACTTTGACATTTACCTCACTTTCCACGAGCGGATGGACGACCTTGGATTGGAGGGCCCTGGCACAGGGAAGCAGATTGCAATATTCTTGCATCCGACACGGCTGAGACCATGTTGATCAGCATGGAAGCGGGAACGGTTATAGGGGGGAGCTAAGGAGAAATCCGAGAGAAGGGAAGCGAAAAGGGAAGGACCCCGTAAGATCTGAACGGTTTTAGACTTGGCGCTATGTCGGGAAACGAGGGTAAAAAAGACTACGTTGAGAACAAACCGTGGCCGGTGTTCATCGTTCGACAACGCCAAATTTACACTTCCCCGCGACCGTTTAGACCGCCGAATCACGAGGCTTTCTCTGCAGACATAGTAGTAGGAATCGGATCCGCCATGGCTGTTCAGCTGCTGGTTTGACTGTCTTCTTTCTCGAATCGTGGTGTCATGGCAAACCGTTTCGAGTGTAGGTTTCGTGCTAGTGACGCGAAGTGGAACGGTGCGCGTTTTACGCCTTGCATCACTGATTATAGAAATTATGAACGGTCTAAAATGGAAAACAAGGCAAGGAAGAGGCTGAATGTCGATAAAGGAAAGGGAGGAACAGAAGAAGAAAAGAAAAGAAGAAGACAAGAAGACAAGAAAAGAAGAAAAGAAGAAAAGAAGAAAAGAAGAAAAGAAGAAAAGAAGAAAAGAAGAAAAGAAGAAAAGAAGAAAACAAGAAAACAAGAAAACAAGAAAACAAGAAAACAAGAAAACAAGAAAACAAGAAAACGCCCCGAGGAAGGAGATAATAAATCCTCCGTCCCCTTAGCTGGGAAAAACGAAAGTGCACTTGTCATCCCAAAATAAATGGGAGAACCACCAGGGACGTGAAAGCAACGAAGAGATCGGCCCCTTTCGGGAACAACACAAGCGAGACTGAAAGGCTGCTGCGAAACCCTCCCCATAGACAGCCCCCTCGGGGGCCAAAGATCCCGACGCTGCACTCAAAATATCCGACCATCGACTTCCATTTATGGCTATAAGATAAGGTAGAGACCGTCTAGAGAGGCACCACACCTTGGCTAATTACCTAGGTAGAGACGCACCCAAAAATAGGGCCGTTCCACCGGCCCCCTATTTCGATATCGAGGTACCTTAGTGGGAAAATAGGCAAAAGAGTTATCCTTAGAACCCCTACTTATCCTCGGCGAAGTCTAACTATCTTTAATAACCAGTTAATCCTTTCATTACTAGTGATCCTTTATTTTTATCACGGATATACTAAGCACGGGATAATAAGATATATTTAGCTTATTAGTCTAGTAGTAGTAGATATACTCCGAACTAAAAGATCGTTGATCTAGTACTATCTTAATTGTATAGCTAAAGGATAGTAACTATAAGAGGCGTCTTTATAATCCAGAAGATTTAAGACTATTTCTAGACTCCCGGATATTAGACTATTAGAGGTTAGATATTAGGTTACCGGGAGCTAATAGGAGGTCGGAGTATATTAGGGATCTAATATATTCTACGTACTAATTCCCAAAGGCGGGGGTATAAGTAATAGCTTAGGATACCGGGTAGTATACTCGGTAGCGGAAATTAGAATAGTTAATTAAATAGCAATTATCTATTTTAAAATAGCTTTATATACATTATATAATCGCAATAATATTATCCTTAAATATAATACTTATGTACCTTTATTAGATTGGTTTTATAGTACTAGATTATACCTTTTCCTGTACCTTGATATCGAAATATAGGTCCGGTAGAACGGCCCTATTTTTAGGTGCCTTTCTAGGTAGCCAAGGTGCGGTGCCTCTCAACACGTAGACGGTCCTATAAGATATTGCCTTGGTTCTATTTCGGTTCGTCGCCAAATTCCCCGTTAACGCCCTTCGTCCCCAATCGTCATACAGACCACTACTGTCGTGGTTCACTTTCTACCCCATGCAATGCCTCTAGGGCACATTCCATCCCCCCCCTCTTACTGTCCTTCGTTTACAAGTCGTATGAGCATCATCGTATCATAGGTCCTCAGAGTCTTCAGGGCCCGTGACCATAGCGCTGAGAGGCCCCTTCTTGACCATGATGCTCATGATTTCGTAAAGGGCATCAGCGGCCGCCATGGTCGTATGTTCTGCGTTCGTGTCATATGCAGGCTATGTGGGGCGTTAGTTATTCAAGTTCATTATGTAGACTATCATCCTCGTATGGTATGATGTCAAGGACGGTAAGAATGCCACCACGCCTTTGCGGAGAGTGGGTTTGGTATATAAAAAGTCGGAGAACAGGGGGGTCTTACCGCAACTTCTACAATATCAGCGCCGATCAGGTTCACGTCTTCCAGACCCCGAAGAATAGTCCGCAGCTCACGGGTAGACCATCCGCCCGTCTCAGGGGTACCGGTGGCGGGCGCAACTATATTTCCAAAGGTTTGTTGCGTTAGATCTTAGACGTTGTTTGGTTTGACAGAAAGGGGTACATCCGCTGCCTTGGGGGATATCGGAACGGGGAAGATGGTGAAAACGGGGTAGGGTCAACACGTACAGGCAGGGTCGAGGGTGTCAATGTCCAAGGAGAGATAGACCGGGTTCTTGGTACCGACACGGTCGATGATCCTCTTGATGATGCCATCGGTGCCGATGGTGTCGATCTCACGCGCCTCAACAATCTCGAAGCCGCAGTAGCCGTCGTTCTCGTAGTCGCTGGGGCCCGAGAGCGTCGTTCGGATACCGGCATGGATGTTGGTGTCGTTGCGCAGGAGGCCTTCCTGGGCAGCATGCCAGAAGTAGGTGCCGTGGTTGATGCTGGCCACCTCCGACGGCGAGCCTCCGAAGACCTTGGGCTTCCCTAGAGTCAATGTATTAGCCGCCGACGACTTAAATCTTCTGTTCTTGCTCCGAAAAGACTTACAGGTATCCAAGTGGCTGTCAAAGTGAATGACAGTCACGGGGCCGTAGGCCCGGTTGATTGACCGCAGCAAGGGGAGGGTGATGGTGTGGTCACCGCCAAGGGTGATGATACGGGGCAAAGTCTTGCCGTGCTTGGCAGGGCCCCTTACCCTCGCGTTGGTGACGGGGGCTCGAGACAGGAGGTTGTAGTGGCCTTCTTCGATCTGGTGCAGGGCCCAGGTGTTGTCGTACGATGTGACGGGGATGTCTCCGCAGTCGAGGACAGTAGCCCAGCTATTGAAAGGGTTGGTGCCCAAGGGAACGTTATAGCCTCCGCTGAATGGCAGTGCGGTGTGAGCATCTTCTCAACGATGTAGAATTTGGGGCCTTTCAGCTCTTTGGTGACCGGGGACACATACTATAGGTTGAGTCTCCGCGATCCCTGCCGGATGCCGGAAGGACCGAAACGAGCACCGGGCCGGTACGAGGTACCCGTGTCGAAAGGGGCACCTAGGGATTTGTTGTTGTTAGATACGTCATTTCATTGCCACCATTTTCCCGACTTTCCATAAAGGGGTGTCGTCGTACCAAGGAAGGCAATGTCGTACTGCACACCTGGCTGGCTCAAGCAAGGCTGGTAAGGAAGGCGGCCGAAGGTGGAGATGCCAGAGAATACCGAGTCGGCCTACAGCTCTTGTCAGTGATTTCTTCGACAGTATATGGCTTATGCCTAAGGTGTATGGGCCAGGCTTCTAAGTTATGACCGACCTGGGTACCGCCGTCGCCTGGCAGATTGTTGTACCATAGGGACTGGAGGGGACCTGAGAGGGGAGTCTGGTTGTCGCCATGGTCGCCATGGCCAGAGACGAGGGCGGCAAGGCCAAGGGCAAGCAAGCTGTGAGAAATCATATTGTGAGGAGGTCAAGGTGTGAAAAGATGGGTGATTCGGATGCCAACAATCAGAAGAGCCTGGGAAGAGCTAGCTTTTATGAAATTGGCTACGGGACAGACGCAGAGAGGCCCAGAGGAGCTCAGCGAGTTCGGCCTCGTTGAAACCGAGTACATGCTATCAGTGGTCATCACATAAGGTACCTTACTACCTAGCTTGGGAGGGCTTATCGACGTTGTGGCAAGTAGTATATATCCAAAGGGAGCATTGAAGCTAGTTTGAGGCAATACTTGACAATGAATGCATCTCCACATGATGCTTTCCCCACGCTCAGCGGTTCGTCTTGACCCGATATCCAAGGCGAACGGAGGAGCGGATGCGGGCATTTCCAGGGTCCATGGCACGATCCTAGAGGAGGGTCAGATACAAACAAGTCTTTCGCTGATATATCATGATGATCAATGGAAACTTTTGAGGTGCCCATGGTCGACGTCCATTGGGCCTACAGGCTGCAGCCATCGCATCGCACTGCTAGCATGCTACCAGCCTGCCACCAACCGCCCGCGAGCATGGCATCTGATATGACAAGATGCCGAACTTTGAACCCGGGTCTCCCGGCGACCGATGCACTCCTTGATACGAATAGACCAGAACCGGTATGGCCACACATGGGCCCATCGGAATGGTAAGCTAGAGTAGAACACAATCAGAGCTCGCGATAAGGGGTGATGGAGTATGTAATCGGTAATCGAGGCCATCGGGCCTCCATGAAGAAGAAACGGACGGGAATGGTGGAAGGGCTGAGTGGACGTTTGGCTATGACAACAGTCTCTGCGTCTCACACCGTCGTTGTCCTCTTAGAGTGCCACGATAAAGATCCACTTGGGGAGCGGGAAGCGACAGGGCTAGACATGCAGAAGATGCACGGCGGTTTCCCAAAACAGAATGGCTCGAACCCAGCACCATGACAGCGGCGGGGAATTGGATCAGAGGCGGTGCGGCCGCCGGTCGAGATACCGGCATGATGGTTGTCACAGGAAGGAAGAA